ACTGACCATCTGTCTCCGGATGGTAGGCTGAACTGAACTCTAACTTCGTGCCCATCGCCTCATGTAAACTGTGCCAGAATCGACTGACGAATCTGGGGTCTCTGTCTGATATAATAGTAACGGGCACACCGTGGAGTTGGATGATCCCACGGGTATATATCGCATCCAACTTATCCAAAGACATCTTCATCGAAACGAGTAAGAAATGAGCGACCTTAGTTAATCTGTCGACCACGACCCAAATAGCGCCGTGATGTTCAGACAACCTCGGTAATCCGGTAACAAAATCCATCGTGACTTCCTCCCACTTCCACCTCGGAATCGGCAGTGGTTGCAGGAGGCCGTTCGGACACTGATGTTCGGCTTTGACTTGCTGACAAATAAGACATCTTCTGACGAACTTGGCGACGTCTTTCTTCATTACTCGCCACCAGAACGACCCTTTCAGGTCATGATACATCTTCGTGCTCCCGGGATGGGCTAGATAGGGTGCGGTATGAGCCTCTGATAAAATCTCCTTTCGCAACGCCTCGACCTTCGGGACCACGATCCTGCCTCTGAACTCTAGGGCACCATCGACACCTAGCTGAAAACCCTCGATGCCACCGGTGCGAACCTTGGCATCCATGACACGAATGAACTCGTCAGAAGCCTGCTCTCGTCGGATTCCCTCTCTCAGAGTCGGCTGAAGCTGCATGGCACTGACACTGGCACTGACGCTCCCCGAAACGGATGTGGGAAGTGCATCGATCGCCTGAATCTGCATCCAGGCAAAATCCCTAATCAATGGACTCTGCTGAGTAACAACGTACGTCAAGTCACCCCTCACCTTTCGGCTTAGGGTATCTGCAACGACGTTCGCCTTTCCCGGATGATACTGAATCGAGCAATCGTAATCCTTTACGAGCTCGATCCAACGGCGCTGTCTCATATTAAGCTCCTTCTGCGTGAAGATGTACTACAAGCTCTTATGATCTGTGAAAATCTCGCAACGTCCGCCGTAAAGATAATATCGCCAAATCTTAAGGGCGTGAACGACTGCTGCTAACTCCAAGTCGTGCGTCGGATAGTTCTGCTCATGCGGCTTAAGCTGACGTGAAGCATACGCGACGACCTGACCATCCTGCATAAGGACGCATCCCAAGCCCTATCTCGAAGCATCGCTGAAGATGGTGAAACTCCAAGAAGGATCGGGAATAGTCAACACCGGTGCTGAAGTTAATCTCTTCTTGAGCTCCTGAAAGCTCACCTCACAACGATCAGTCCACTCGAACTTCACAGACTTCCTCGTCAGCTGGGATAGTGGGAGGGCAATCTTCGAAAAGCCCTCGAAGAACCTGCGATAATAACCAGCTAAACCGAGAAAACTGCGAACTTCGGACGGACTCCTCGGTGTCGACCAGTTCTGAACAGCTGAGACCTTGGAAGGATCCACCTCGATACTTGCCTGAGTAATCACATGACCCAGAAAAGATACTCGCTGGAGCCAGAACTCGCATTTGGAGAATTTTGCAAACAACCTTTCTCTTCTGAGGGTTTCAAGAACCACCCTCAGATGCTCCTCGTGCTCCTTCTAGCTCTTCGAGTAGATGAGGATATCGTCAATAAAGACAATAACGAACTGATCGAGGTAGGGATGGAAAATACAGTTCATGAGGTCCATGAAAACTGCTGGGGCATTGCTGAGACCGAATGGCATGACGATGAACTCGTAATGGCCGTAACGAGTCCTGAAAGCGGTCTTAGCGATATCTGACTCCTTAATCTTCAGCTGGTGGTAGCCTGATCGTAAATCAATTATTGAGAACACACAAGCTCCCCTCAACTGATCAAATAAGTCGTCGATCCTGGGATGCGGATACTTGTTCTTGATCGTCAATCTGTTCAGATCCCGACAGTCGATACACATGCGCATGGAACCGTCCTTCTTCTTAACAAAGAGAACGGGTGCTACCCAAGGTGACACGCTCGGTCGGATAAAACTGAGTCGTAGCAGCTCCTGAATCTGCGCCTTAAGCTCCTGCAACTCCATTGGCGCCATACGGTATGAGGCTTTAGACACTGGGCCGGCTCCTGGGATGAGATCGATAGAGAACTGCACCTGCCGGTTAGGCAGTCCTCCTGGAAGCTCGTTTGGGAACACGTCCACAAACTCATGAACAACCGGAACATCGTGAAGTGATCGTGCTTTCTGAGAATCGTCGACAAGGCTCACCAGATAACCCTGGCAGTTGCCTCGTCGCAGCAACTTAGTGGCTTTCGCCATCGAAACAACATGAGGCAATGAACGATTCCTGAATCCAAAGAAAGTGATCGAGTCGTCTCCCGGAAGATAAAGTGTAATCTCCCGGTCATGACATCTGATATCTGCATGATAAAAGGATAGCCAATCCATTCCGAGAATAAGGTCGAAGTCCCTCATCTCGAGAACAAACGCGTCGGTAGACAATACTCGGCCTCCGAGGGAAAGGCTAAGATCTGAAGCTTTAGCTGAAGTTACTATCTTTCGTCCCGAGGCTAAACTCACCTCGAGAGGAT